TTTTTTTGTACCGGGGATTGAACTCAGGTCCTTGAGCTGGCAAGGCAGGTGGCAGAGCCACTGAACTAAAGCCCTGTGCCCCCCCACACACCCCAGCCCTCTTTATTTTTTCTTTTGAGACAGTTCCTAAATTTCCCGGGCTGGCTGGAACTTGCAATCCCCCTGCCTCAGCCTGCCCAAGTGCTGAGATGACAGAGCACAGGCCCCTGCAGGCTTGGCAGGGATTCCAGCCCAGGAGAGCTTGGGCACGGAGCATCCACCTGCCATCCCCCACGAAGTGGGCACATACCTCCCAGAGCCCTGATACGCGAGTTCAGGGATCATGTCGCACTAGCACGGTCCTCACCCCAGCACGCACTGCCTACACCTGTGACCCTGCCGCACCGTCTCGTGGAGAAACTGAGGCCCAGGCGGAAGACTATTCTCCCAGAGGCCAGGTCTGGCCAGCCACGTCCCCACCCCAGAGCGGCCAGGCGGGGACCACGTGTGCTGCTCCCAAGCAGCCACGTTCGTGCAGCACTAGGCACTAAAATAAGCCGCTTGCAGCCATGGCTAAATCAGGCATGTGTGCGGGGGTGGCGATCGAGCCGGCGCGGGAGCCTCTCCCGGCCCCTGTCCTGCCCTGCCTCGGTTTCCCCAAGTCCAGGCAGGAAGCAAGGAGAGTACTCAGCGGAGGAGAGGCGATCCCCCTGCCTCTGTGGCCCAGAGACCTCTGGGGAAGGGGGGCGGCCCTGGTCCCCATCCCCAAAGGAGGGAGCGTTTTTTAACCCCAGGGGCGCGGGCTAGGGGGAGCTGGGGGAGCCAGGCCCAGATCCGTAGTCCGAGCTTCGTGGACAGTGACCGAATGGGTGCTCAGACCTCCCTGCAAGTGGACCTCAGTCCCGCGGCTAGGTGCCCGGGGTGGGCGGAGTCCCGAAGCCGCACCTCGGTCCAGTCCACTAGTCCTGAGGGCTTCGCGGCTTCTGACCCCCAGGGCCTCGGAGCCTCTGGAGGCCCAGGAGGGCGGGACCGACAGGCCGCGCGCGGCCC